ATTAATGTTTACTTTCTAAATTTGATATTTTATATATATATATATATATATATATATATCATATCAAGATATATATCTATGAAGGATTTGGGGAGCTGTGCAAAACCCTAGGTATTTCAGATGTTGTCATGTTTCTTTCTGAGCCTAAATTTAAACATGGATAAGAGTGGCAGGAAGAAATACTTTCTAGAAATATTCAATATTCTAAAAAACTGAAAAAAAAATCAGTTCAGAAGAATTTCCTAGAAAGTGGGAAGTACAATGACAAATAGGAAAGAAAAGGATTCAGAACAGAGGTACAGGAGTGATTCAAGATTTGTAAAACCTGCCTTAGGTTGAGAGAGAGAATTAGTACCATCTATTTAGTTTAAAAGATGATGAAAAAGTGGCTTGATCTCTGACCTGAACTCTGTTGAAAGAGGATTTCTGATAGTGGGCTGCTTAAGTTAGCAAATAATACATAACAAAATTCAAAGACTGGAAACCAAATCTGACTAGAAATATGGTACAGATTTCTAATAATAAGGAGTACTGAAAACTGTTTAACATAGGGATATGTTGAATTCACCATTACCTGAAGTCTTTAAATCAAGATTGGATGTCTTTCTAAAAGATACATCTTAGCCAGAACCAGAAGTAACGGGCTTGGTGCAGGTTGTGTGAATTAACAACCCGCGTCATGTAGGCAGTCAGTCTGACATAGGAAGTCACAGCTATGATCATAATAGTTCCTCCTGGCTTCAAAATCTGTGAAAGTGAGGTGGGCAAGTATGAACGAATGGAATGGTAAGTAGAGTATTAACCATTTTACTGCCTACTAAAGACTTTACTACCAATGTGAATTCCATAGTAACTATAACTAAAATTTAAGTGGCTATCTTTCCAGCTTAGACACTTGCACTAATCAGGGAAAGTCTATCATTAGTAGCATATAGCGGTAGTCAACCATGTACAATCATTTATAGACCTTTTATGACATAGATAGACTGCAATGCTTGTCCTTCTCCCTGGTTGGCCTGAATCAGTGTTACAGTTCTGAATACCTTCCTTTGAAAGTTGCCCTTTATTTTTCAGTGTAAAATTCATTTACATCCAAGAAATGTATTTGGCCCAATCCTGAACATTTAAAAATCTCATACTGAAATCAGTACTTTCTGATTTCAGAGACACGGTAATTAAGAATAGGTCCTATCCTTTGAAGTAACATCTTTTACTCTCAGACAATGGTTTTGCCAAATTGGTCAGCCGAGGAAAATGTCAGTACATTATTCTTAATAAGTCACTATTAGTCCAAAAACTAAGCACAATAAAATTGTGTTTGACTGTATATATAGATTGAGAGAGAAATAAAGTAACCTCTGAAATCTTGTTGTGTCTAAATCTGGCAGCTGGATTTCATAGAGACACACTGAATGGTATTATTTTAATTATGTTTTAAGTGCAAATCTTTTTACGGCATTTACTGTAGAGCTGCTACTTGACTGTTTCATCATATCAAATGTCCAAAGTCTGTAGAACAGAAGAGAGATACTTTTCATTAATTTGTCCTACTGAAAATATTTCTATTCAGGAACACTGCAAAAATTAATGTAATTAAACCCTCTCTTCTTTCCTACAGTGAATTCTATGCTACGTGTTTACATTCCAGGAAAAAATATCTGAGACCTGCCTGCAATAGTCAAGCAGGCATTGTCTGACTCTTTGTTCTGAGTCCATGACTTCTGTAGTCAGAGGTTGAGCCTGTTACAGATGATGATCTGTCTGCTGTGTCTCCAGAAGGAACATCCGGCCAATTATTTTTAGGAAGAGCTGACTTCCAGTAAACACATCCCTTTTAAAGGTGACAGACCAGCCGAAGGAGAATGAAATCATAAATCTTATGGTAAGTGGGAGCTGACCAAATTACTGAAAGTGAAAATCATTCCTGTGAGACGCTATGAACTTTGGTGACAAAAGGAAATGGGAAATTCTTTTCTACCTCGAATAACACTCTTGTGCATTTATAGAGGGTTTTATATCTTCAAAGTGCTTTATAGACATTAACTAATCCTCCTAGTATTCCCGTGAAGGAGGTAAGCATTATCTCTGTTCTACAGATGGGAAAATGAGGTGCAGAGGGGTTAAACAATTAGTCTGAGGCCACAGAACGAGTCAATGTTTGAGCCACTGTTAAAGCAAAGAGTTCTAGGCCTAGAGTTCTGTGATCACATTCATGAGGCCACGCGTAGTCGTCTCTGAGTAATGGAATATAATTGCTAATATCCTTTTTTTTTTAACCAAAGCAAGAATCTGGATTTTAGAAAGACTGTAAATGGATTTCGTTATTTTTGATTTCATAAAGTCATAATTTAGACCAGAGGAGATTTATTGACTTTATTGCTCTGTGATAATTATAACACATTTTGTGCCCTTGTTGATCTAATGGGCCTGTCATTTTTAGTAATGGATCTGTCTGGAAAAAGAAACAGTATGAATTGCTGATTTTTATTTAGGAATTGGATGTACCTGATCACGAGGGGCACATATATTCACACCACACATGAGTATTAAAATGGAGGGCTGTACCCCTGCAAAAAGTAAACAAATAATATATTAAATTCATTTCCAACTAATTAATTTTTCTACGCAAATTTAATGCTCTGAAAGATGCAAGGCTGCCTGCCATTCAGTATTTTATTTGCCCAGGATTTTAAGTGCTACTAGTAATGAGTAATGCCATCTGATGACTTTAAAGTAATGTATCATTTTATTTTACCAGTGGTATCAATTTAACATGAATCAAGCCTCCTTGTACCCCTGTAAGGTTGAGCACTGTAGGTGTGCGCCACTGCCCTCTACTGGTCAGTCAGTCAATCAGATGTGCTCACACACGTGACCTATTATTGGCAGTGCCTGATGTGTGTGTATAGCCCTACTACTACAAGTAACAGAGGTTCTCTTCACTTCAAGTTGTAGGAGCTTGCATTTTTGCAGCAGAAGACCCTGAGTTATATGCCTCAGTCAACAGTATGGTACTAAAACCTATGCAGTCATGGAATCACTGCCCTGGCACCATGGTACACTTGCATAACAGGAATCAACTTATGCATAGAGCCTCTTATTTTAGCAGCCCAACCCCCTTTAGTACTTATACATCTGATTAAAATGAAGCATGAAGTCAGGTGCTTTGCTGATTCAGGATGGACTTAAGCTTATGTATGTAAATTTGCTAAACTGGGCCAACAGTGCTTAGGGTTTGCTTGTAAGCACATGATGGGAAAATAGAGAATAAATTGAAGGAGGACAGGGCCTAATCCCTTTCCATTCTCAACATATCTAACATTAGATTGCACTGCCTGTAACTAGGCTGGGGGCAGGGAGGGGAAACAGAACAACTGGAGAATTTGCCTCCTATGTTATATGATGCTTTTTCAGACCTTTCTACAACTTTCTGTTTTGTTTTCTTGGGGTTTTTTTATATACAACTGCTCTTATATGGGCCTAAGAAAAAACTAAAAATATACAGTAAGGTTAAGACAGATGTTAAATACAACAAGTCTCATGGAGTGTAACCCACTTATAGACTCATGAAAAGCTCTATCTTCCAGGGATAGCCACAAATTTATATACGATCTTTGCAAACCAGATTTTGCATAGCAATTTGTCTTTCAGCTTGAAGCCATTTCAAAAATTTCATGTAACCAGACAGTTCCTATCACTAGAGCTCGACATCTGATGAGCCTCAGATGAAACAAATGATTCCATCAAAGGTCAGTTGTGTAACATCAGCACTTAAAATTGGGTCAATCAAACCTGGGAAAAATGGTAGTTTTTCTAGTAACTCTGTTTTCTTTAGGACAAAATACAGCCTTTGGAGAGATCTTGCCTGTAAATATGGGTATTGTGACAGCTGCACGTTTTGGAAATTGACAAAACTCTGCCTATTTGGACCATTCTTTACTTGTTTGTAACTAGTTCTGTTAACTTCTCCTTGCTCCAGAGGTGTACTGCCCATTTCCCATAAGTGACCCCTTTCTTTTATATTATGGCATTTAGCTTAGACTGTCTCTCCTTTCCCAGACCTGAGGAAGAGCATTTTGTGCTGCAAAGCTTCTCTATGCTCTCAACCATATAGCTGGTCCAATTAAAAAAAATCCCCCAAAATCTTGCTTCTCACTATATTGTAAAGATCCACACCCAGTGGTACAGGCTAGATCTGAATGTATCATTCACTTTTCCTTTTCGCTTGTAAGTAATACATGCAGCTGAGCTTCCATGAAAATTAACAAGGGACAGATCCTTAGCTGGTGTGGATTGTAATAACATATTTTGTCATTAATATCACTGTGACAGCTTACACCAATGAGGATTTAGCCTCAATGGAAACAACAACCCCGCCCCCCCCACAAACCTAAATATCATTATCCAAATTTGTATTAGGAGAACTAAATTACACAGATTGCACATAGAGGCTATATCTGCCCAACAAATGCCGTCCTTCTCTCCTGTCCCCAAATGGAGATTCCTGTCATTACCTTTCAATGTTCACCCTCACCTTGTTAAGCAAAGGTTACAGTCCCACCCTGCTCCCTTCACACTTCCTCTCTTTCCTACCCTGAAGACATGTAGGTGATTTATGGTTCTGCATCTCTCCTGTGCTAGCTAAAGTAAAGAATATTTGTTTCAGAGCCCCTTTTGCAAAGTCTCTATGATGTGCTTCACCTAGCACATGTCCCTGGAAAGATAAATGATGAACAAGGATGTCCAAAAGTGGGAGCTCTAGAAAAAGCTGCTTAACTGACATATCTTAGGTAGTGATATGGGCCCCAAAGCCACCTCATGAGTGCCCAATAGGGGAAACTTGACCAGGTGCATCTAGTTCTTGTAATAACGAGGATGTATCACAATTAGGAGAGGGAAGTGTTCAATTTAGAAACTGTGGGCCTAACTCTAAGTACTTTCTCTCCTTATTTAATACTGCCACTATTTATCAGCTTTGTTGGAGGGCAGAGGCCGAATCTTATGTTTAATGTGTTTTGGAGGCCTTTGCCTGGGAAGTGCCATAGAAGTGCAATTAAAAGAGAATGCCCATTGCAGAGAATGACATTTCTAACTCTGTAAATGGCTGTATGGGCATCCCCATCCAATTACCATATTTTTCATTCTTCCACAGTTATCTTCCTGATAAAGTTGGGAGATTCATTCATGTGTTTCCATTCCAGCAGGAAAGAGGGAATGCCACTAGATATCTTTAAATACATAAATCCTTCAAAGGTTAAGTGTAAGAAGTATGAATTAAAAGGATGCCATATTTTGTTCACTTATACTAACGTTTTCAAGATAGTGTTATGGCTATATGGTCCATGAACTGGCCAAAAATTGGGACTGGGGACAGAGAAAGGGAATGGAATATCAGAACTTACTTATTCTATAGAAACACAAAGGAGATAATGGCCAGGAAAAGATTCACACAAATATCTTTTTCATTGCCTCCCCCTGTGTGAGTCTCAGATGGGCTGGCGTTCTTATACCTAATGGTAACATTCATTCTTCTCCTACACTATCATTATCTGAAGTTGATGCCTGAAATTACAGGGCTTGGAATAACATGCTGGTTTGGGGCTCTCATCCTCATCCTGTTTCTCCAACTTCACCTGACCTCCGAAATCCTGGCCTTCTGCAGACAGCTCACATACTGGAAGAACTCGACACAATTAAAAAATCTGTTAATAGAGCTGTGGAATATTTTTTTCTGAGTAATAAAATATAGCCTAGGATGTGCCAGGTATAAGTAAAACAGTTCTTTCATTTTGGATTTGCAGTCTAAGTTTTTATCCAAAGATGCTGGTGGGTAAAAGATGAAGTGAGCTGATTTGGGGCTTGGGATAATGACTCTGGTTGTCCCAATTCTTCAGCTGCCATTTTTCTTTTACACATCACGTAGCAAGCCTTGGACCCAAACAAGAGAAGCAGGGCTGTAGGTATAACAGTCATCTGTTCAAAATATGGATCAGGTGTTCCACATGTGCAGAGCTATGGCTATTCTACGTTCTGTTTCTGCACTATTTGGTCTGCACTATGTAATCAATGGATTACACAGACACTTTCCTGTATTCTTCTTTGATGCATGGTCAAGTGATCTTTCAGGTCCTCTAAAATATGTAAGAACAGTACTGCTAACATATAAGCTCATTAGGATGCCCTGTATGTTTTCCATCTTTGTCTTGTATGGAGTATATTAAAGCACTCCTTACTGAGGCTGGTTTGACAATCCTTCTTTTAATGAAAACAAAACACAGTAAAAGTAGTTTTTCTGGCGTGAATATTTGTACATAGAACAAAATATCTGTTCCTAATTAAACCAACAGATGTTCTGGATAGACGTTTAAAAGGCCCTGGGTATACTTCATCTTTACTGTTAGACTATAAATTGTCATTTTGCTCATTTTGCATTTTACTTTTAAGTTGACAAGTTCTCCAGGCTTTCTCCTTCCTCTGTCAGTTTCTACTGTTGCATTTTGTTAAACGGGTATCATACAAGCACTACTGATTCACAATCCCTAATATATCAGTCGTTAGCAATTCCACTTCTCTCTTAAGGCACGCAAGAGAGCCATTAACTGCCCTGCTAAACAACTTCCAGACATGGTATTGAGGCTGGTGGGGTGTGTGTGTGGGGTGGAGGTTACTTAACTAAACCCCTCTTTTCCATTGTTGACTGTAGCCAACCATTCGCGCGATAGCTTGTTTGTTTTTACACAAAAAAGGTTCCGGTGCTACATTTGTAGATAAGTGTAGTCCTTAAATAAATATGCACACAGACATGGCTCTGTGTGCATATTTAAGTGTAGTCCTTAAATAAATATGCACACAGTGTCTTCCACCAGATGAACTTTATGATGTAGCATGTTGAAGAATAATTTGTACCTTCTTATGAAACCCGATGAACAATCCATGGAAACAAAAGTGTTTAAATAATATCTTTTCTGCAGCTGAAAGAACAATATCAGGAAGTAGGATAGACCTGGACTTTTTTTGCTATGATCTCCAAAGATTTACAGAGGTGATCTAGGAAACAGCCATTCTAAAAGCATATTTCCCTAGCAACACTGACCACACCGATATGTATATCAGTACTTCTCCAGATGGTTGCAGCTTCCCTCTGTATGTACAGCCACTGTAGCAGTATTGGCAACTCTCATGATGTTTGGTGTTGTTCTTAAAGCCTATGCTTCAGGAATGTGAAAAACTGAGCTCTTTCATTTATCTATATTTATATTTATATATAGCTAGATAAAAGAAAGAGCTCAGTTTTTCACATTCCCGAAGTGCAGACTTTAAGAACAATGCCAAAAATCATGAGAGTTGCCAATACTGCTATAGGTGCAAGCATCAATGTCAAGAAAATCAGAAGTAATGCCATTCCTGGGAGAATCAGTCAGTCCTGTCACCATCTACAAGCCTATTGTGCATGGTAGTTCTGGTATCCATCATTCCTGGGGATCTTCAACCTGCATGCATTTGGAAGAATATATATTCTATTTCCCCCCTTTCTCCATGGCACTGTCATTTGATGCAGTTCCCTTGTGGTGCGATCACAGGGACAGAGAGGCTGTGGTTACTTCTGTAGACGAGCTCCTGTGTTTAAGCATGACTACAGGGTGCATATGACCCATGGTGATTGTCATCCAGTAAGCATTCTGCTTGAAAACCGATTTAAAATACTTCACAGCCAGGGTCTAGTCAGTTCCCTCATTTAAACGTGCTTGAGGGGTTGGTGACTGAGGGAGCCAAACTTGTCAACTGCAGTTTAATTGCTGGGGCAGGAAAACTGGACGGGCATGTTCAAGTCTAGGCTTATTACTGAAGGACAAAAAACGCGGGAAGTGGTTTGTATTGATACTGTGCTCCTCAAAGGGCATTAGACTACAGGATTCTTATGCAAAAATATTCAGTAGCATAAGAAAAGCCTAAAATGAGGATTAGAGGCACTAAGCCAGAAGATTGACTGATGTTTAAAGCTTGTTCACAATGGGGAAAATAGCATTTTCTCAAATAAATTTCACTCTTTCTAAAATGGTAATCTAATGCTACTGTTCACCTCTGTCATCAGCTTCCTTACTTGCATTTTCTCGGGAAGGAATCACAGCTGCTAGCAATACGTTCAGCCAGCAGCTCTCTTGAGACAGTGCAAGCAAAGCCACCATATGATCTTGAGAAGGATCATGTTTAAACAGTAGCATTTCAAGAAAGGATAACAGGAATAAAGTGCTGGCCATACAGGCAAATATTGGGGTGTTGACACCCAATGTAAGTGGGACAGATTTCTGAAGTAACAATTTGTAGCAAGTGCAGGCAAAGGCACAAGATGATTTAGCGGCAACAGGAAACACGGGTGTTTT